TTAAACCCCAGGACAGGCAAAAAAAAAAGGAAAAATCATACCACTTTTTCTGTAATTGTTTATTCTTTTATGTAAGTTCTGCTTAATAATCATTCTAATTAACATCTAAAGACTTCAGTGGCCAAATTTTTTTTTCTTTTCTTTTTTTTTTTTTTTTTTGGTGGGTCATGGGGGTTGAACTAGGGCCAGAGTGCTATCCCTGAGCTTTTGCACTCAAGGTAAGTACTCTGCCACTTTGAGCCACAGCACCACTTCTGGTTTTCTGGTAGTTAATTGGAGATTAGAGTCTCATGGAGTTTCCTTTCCAGGCTTGCTTTGAACCGTGATCCTTAGATCTTAGCCTCCTTAGTAGCTAGGTGCCTTGACCCACCAGTGCCTGCCTAATGGCCAGTTTCTATAGTGGGTATTGTACTAACGCCTTGACAGATATGCCCTTTATAGGTCTTATATTTCCAACACTGTGCAGAATATCAAAACACCTACTCAGCTGGGCTAAATATTCACTTTGTGTTTTTTTTTTAAAGGTTTAATGAAGAGGCTAGAGGAGGAGATAAAATTTAATTCATATATGGTAACTGAAAAATTTCCTAAAGAATTAGAGAACAAGAAAAAAGAACTGCATTTTCTACAAAAAGTGGTTTCAGAGCCAGCGATGGGCCATTCTGATCTTCTTGAACTTGAATCTAAAGTAAGTGACAATCAATAATCATCTTTTTATAGCTCCCAAATTTACCTCATCCTCAGTTTTCTAAAAGTTATGTTATCTGCTTTCCATAATGTCCCACTCTTTTTTTTGTTTTGTTTTGTTTTTGGGTCCGGTTGTGGGGCCTGAACTCTGGGCCTGGGCACTGTCCCTCAGCTCTTCGGCTCAAGGCTAGCACTCTACCATTAGAGCCACAGCGCCACTTCTGGCTTTTTTCTTTTTGCATATGTGGTGCTGAGGAATTGAACCCAGGGCCTCTTGCATGCAAGGCAAGCGCTCTACCACTGAGCCACCTTCCCAGCCCCCATAATGTCCCACTCTTTACTTTAAAGTTAGCCTGTGCCAAGAGGTAACAACTCTTTGATGAGTTGTCCTTATGAGAAATTACAGAATACAATGATGCTACTTTATACATACAGTGTCATAAAAGCCTAGTCAACTCAGAAAACTAGTTTACTTGAGCTGGGCGCTGGTGGCTCACGCCTGTAATCCTAGCTACTCAAGAGGCTGAGATCTGAGGATCGCGGTTCAAAGCCAGCCCAGGCAGGAGAGACTGTTGAGACTCCTATCTCCAATAAACCACCAGAAAACCGGAAGTGGCGCTGTAGCTCAAGTGGTAGAGCGCTCACCTTGAGCTGAAGAGCTGAGGGA